ACCAGGCACAATCTTCCAAGAGTTCTCTCTTGGTGGAGTCACACAGAACATGCTTAATTCCCCAGAAACTAATTGGACAACAGGTGTGAAATGTTGTGTACCAGGAAGCTCATTAGAGATTCAGTGCCTAGGGTTATTATGAAGGGGTAGTCACATAGGTACCCCCTGCCTAGCATGTACCAAAATTCCAGACTTACAGAAGGAAACTGGGTGTTCAGCATAAACCACGTTGTTCGTACATTGTACAAGCAATTTAGGCACAATGAGTCACTCGTATCACTTCTGGGAATGGTGGGAACACTCTTGAAATTCAGGTTCCCAGACACCAGCTAGGGCCAATCTTGCAAACAGGCCTTTCTATCTGTGGACAGCAGTCTCAGGCCTGCTGTGATAACCCTTTTCTGCACACTATTTGTACTTAATGTGACCTTACAGGGTGGGGAAGTGGCCTCAGGGGCTGTTGGGTAATGGGAAGGTGTGGGTGTAGGAATGAGTAGGATATGAAGACTGTGGGACTTTGTGTCCCCCTCTTCTCACTTTTGTCGTTAATAAATTGAGGATTCCATGGAAGATTGTGTATGTAACAAAGGGGTTGCTATTAAAATAAAATTTGAAAATCACTCCTTTAAACAGTGAGATGAATTTCAAGCAAAAGATTGATAAAATAACATTTGGATTTTACTTCATCACTGGAGTTGGTGGAAGATATTTTAGAGATGGTGGCAGTGGTAAATTTGGGGCAGTGGAGGTGATGGGAGGCAGGGAGTCTACTGTGATAGCCTAAGGCAGGGATAATGAGAGCCCAAACTGGGGTGGTAGTGTTAGAACCGGTTCCCCTCAGCCCCAGGAACAGAGAGGCAGAGTCACCGAGGCTGCAAATGGCTAAGGAGTTTATTGGCTAGCTCGAGCTAGGGTCCAAGTCCCAGAGCACCAACGCAGTGGCCTCCCTAAGAACCAGGACCCTGCCCTGGGGTAAAAGTGAAGCTTTTATACTTTCTTTTGCACACAACACACCGGTGGCACACGACACGCAGGTTCCACACGACATGCTGGGCACACCATCCCCCCTCCCCCCTTAGTCCATTGGTTCTTTTGAAAGTGGCTGATTGTTTTGACTCCTGATTGGTTGGCTCCAAGCCCCGGGATTTTCAATTTTCGCGCCGGCGCCAGTTGTGGTCTGCGTTTCGGTTTCGGGGAAACTGAAACTTAGGCCTATTCCAAGAAATTCAGCTTGTCATGGAGTCACTCCTGCTCTTACTCATATATTTAACAAACAACTAAAAGCAAGTACGGTTACAGAAGCAAATGGCATCAGTTAGAATCAATGAGAACACATTTTTCTAATCTCAGACAATTTGTTCCACACAAAACAAAGTACATTCTCCTACTATCAATTCCTGTCTTTCAGTAGGATGAGGAAGGGAAAGAGGAAATGGATTAGAGGGTGTTTAGGATGTAACACTGAGTAGCATTGATGATTGATTGGCTTGAGAACCTGGTTGAGGGATGGGGAACGGGGTTGTGGGATAAAGGGGAAGAAGTTAGTATTACTCTAAGGTTTCTATCTTGTTTGACTCCAGAAATAAAGGAGGGAATGGAAAAGAGCATTTTTCTCCTGTTGTAAAAGTCTCAAATCCTCTGATGCTAACTGGGTATCCAACAATTCTTCAATTCTGACACCATCTATCTGAAGTGAGCATCAGATCCCCCAACGATTCTTCTGGGCAGAGGCTTCTAACAAACAAACAAACAAACAAACAAAAGAGATCCCCCCATCTAAAGGGCTCAGTCCCACAAAATGCCTTCACTTTAGATGCCAGCTGCAAATGGGGTGCCCAGGCTAACCACACATCTCCCTGGCTGACTGCAAATTTGGGGATTCCCATATTCTCCCTTCCCTTTATGTTTGATAATTTGCTAGAATGGGCCACAGCACCCAGGAAAACACTTATGTTTACCGGTTTATTATAAAGTACACAACTCAGAAACAGCTAAATGGAGAGTTGCATAGGGCAAGGTCTGCCACCCTCGCAGCACCTAGATGTGTTTGCCAACTCAGAAGCTCTCCAGATTTTCTTCTTTAAGAGTGTTTAAAGCCAGGTGCAGTGGCTTACGCTTCTAACCCCAGCAACTGGGGAGGGTAAGGCAAGGGGATCACTTGAGCCTAGGAGTTCTAGGCTCGTAAGCTATGATTGTGCCACTGCACTCAGACTGGGTGACAGAGCAAGACCTTGTCTCAAAAAAAAAAAAAAAAAAGTGTTTATAGAGCCCAGTCTCCAGCCCCACCTTCTTTCCCCGAGAAGTTGGTGGGTGGGGCTGAAAGTTCCAACCCTCTACTCACTTGGTCTTTCTGGCTACCTGCCCTGTCCAGAGGCTATCTAGGGGCTCCACCCTAAAGTCACCCATTAGCATGAACTCTGGAGTGATGGAAAGGGACTCATTATGAATAACAAAGGATAGTCCTGTTACCCAAAATATCAAGATCGGGGTTCTTTCACTTGGCCAGTAGCAAATGACTCTTCACGAGAACTGGGTCTTGATCAGTAGGAGTTTTAATTACTAAGTGAAGAGAGCACTGGGGACATTCTCCAAAGTAGTGTCTCCCCAAGGGAAAGTGGCATAGGGTTTTTATAGGGTAATAGAGAAATAAAAAGATGTGTCTTCACAGGTAGGGGTGTAGTTCCCATTACGTATGCGTGGTTAGTTTGTCATGCTAGACACAGGTCACATGTTGTGACACAGGTCACATGATGAAGCTACAGCTCCTCCTGGGGTGGAGACTTCAGCTTGGTAATGAGGGAAGTTCACTTGAATTCATCTACAGGCTGCCTGCGTCTGTCATGAGCTAGTTTTAGCCAGCTGAATAGCCTTATAAACAAAAGCTGCAGAACAGGTTGATTGCTCAAGTTGGTTGAATTCCTATAGTCTCTGGAGACCCTCCCTTCCCCTACTTATACTTCTGGTATTCTGGAATTAGGAACTTTGTGCCAAGAACCAGGGACAAAGATCAAATATATTTTTTTATTTTGCCACACTGGCAAATACCTCAAATTGCTGGGAACCTTTAGAGAACTCTCAGGCTGTATCTCCAGCTTCAACATTGAACCGAAGTCATCTCCCTGGTCCTGTGAGGCCCAGTTTTCCAGGAAACCCTTAGATTGTCTTTTGTAGACCTTAAGCACCCTGTATTAGTTAGGGTATAACAAGAGACCCCAAAATACATTGCTTTAAAAGCAATACAGAAGTTTATTAGTCTTGTATATGAAAATCCAGGTAGGTGGTCCAGAGCTGGTTTGGAAGCTAGCATTATTGGAGGACCAGGCTCCGTGTATCTTGCTGCTCTGCTTTTTTTTTTTTGAGACAAGAGTCTCACTTTGTTGCCTGGGCTAGAGTGCCGTGGCGTCATCCTAGCTCACAGCAACCTCAAATTCCTGGGCTCAAGCGATCCTCCTGCCTCAGCCTCCCGAGTAGTGGGACTACAGGCATGTGCCACCATGCCCAACTCATTTTTTCTATATATTTTTAGTTATCCAATTAATTTCTTTCTAATTTTAGTAGAGACGAGGTCTTGCTCTTGCTGAGGCTGGTTTCGAACTCCTGAGCTCAAACAATCCGCCCGCCTCGGCCTCCCAGAAAGCTAGGATTACAGGCGTGAGCCACCGCGCCCAGCCTTGCTGCTCTGCTTTACTCAACATTCTGTGTGCATCTCGTTGGCTCTTCCAGCTGCAGTCATCACACTTTCATTCCAGGTAGAGGAAGGGTAGGAAAAAGGAAGCTGGAAGGATATGCCCTTTTTCTTTAATGATGTGTATGAGAACCGCACATCCTGTTGGTTAGAACCTGGTCACATGGCCAGGAAATATAGTATGTAACTGTGCGCCCCTGCCGTCAGCTAAAACTTCTATTCAGAAAGGGGGAACAGATAACTGAAGACAGCCCTGCCTTATCCCTAACATTCATGGTATATTTAAGGACTTTGCCCCTCCTCTTTCAGGAAAAATGTGGAGCTAACATTGTGACTGTTAATTCATTTTGCTAAAGGAAGTAATTTTCGTGTTATTGTGACAAAGAAAACATGATATTTACTGAAACTAAGGAAATGCTGGCAAAGTACCTTTGAGAAATCTTGTGCTAAAAAATGTACCAGGTTGCTGCTGTTTATTGTTTATTGCTTCTAAAAAACAGGGAGTTAGCGTGTTCCTTACACTTAATCTTAGCCAAAAGGCCAAGAAGTGATTACCTGCTCATTAAACCTGCCCCAGATAATGAATGGAATTATGATTGCACCTCACCATGGCCAATCGTTTCTCTTCCAGGACAGGCGAAAGAAAGGATGAGAACACCACCTTGCTTTGAAGCAGACACTCTTGTGTCTCAGCTCTGTGTTCAACCCCCTAAAGGTTATGGAAAAAGGGAAAAAAATTTATAAGCAGAGGGCTGAAATCAATGTAGTAATATCTGAATGTTGTATTGTTTTGGGGTAGAGAATAAAGGAGCAGTAGAAAACCCTTGGGACTAATCTCTAATTCTCTGCCTTGGTGCTTAAGACCAGAATTGGGGGTAACTCCAAGAAAAGCAGCACTCTTGGTTTTGGGAAGCAGCGATGAACCCAGGTGGCTTGTTTAGTGGATTGGCGGCAAAATAGAGGCTCTGTGGCAGGTTAGGCCCTCTAGAACAGAGGTTATAATTATAGTTTATTGTTTTGGGGTTTATGTCCTTTTATTAAAATGAAAATATTCTTTTTTTTAATTTTAATTTTGCTACCCGGCGTGCGCCTCGCTGGAGATGTCCTGCCCACCAAAATGAAAATATTATAAATATATTTATTGTATAAATGTGTTTTATATTATTTTTTAAAATCAAAATGACATTTACAAAAGCTGCTCAGAAACCCTTGTAACTAGTTAAAAGTTTGACTGTGACCCTTAAGAAACATATTTAAGAACGCTATGAAATACCTTTATGAAAGTCTAAAATTTTTTGTATGTTTTTGTTTATAGCCTATACAGTTCAGACACCTGAGAGTATGACCCCAACTGCTGCTTCAGAGACTTATTTGAAAGCTTTGGCTGTTTGCCATGGACCTCTGGACCACTATGACTTTCTGATCAAAGCTCACGAGCTAAAGGATGATGAACATCAAAGAAGAGTCATACAGTGTTTGCAGAAATTACATGAGGACCTTAAAGGATACAGTATAGAGGCAGAAGGCCTTTTTTCAAAGGTGAGGTTTGTGTGATATTAAAGATTGAACAATTAAAGTTATAAGTGTTTTATGAAATAGACTCAATACAGTGGGGTACAATTGTGAGACAGCTTGAAAGTTTCCCACCAGTTCCTCTGAACAAGTTCTGTTGGATTCCCATTCCTGGCCTCTTGATGTTCCATGGCTTGCTTTTACCTTTGGGGATTTGAACAGCTTCATATTTATGTATTAAAAAATACATTCCAATCTAAATGAAAACTTCTAAGTAATTCAGAGCTTTCCCCTTCCTTTAGCTCAGGCCTCACCCAGGGAACACCAGAGGCAAAGGAGGGGTGACATGTTCTTCCTCCTTTCTCTGCTTTCTTCCTCCTTTCTCTGCTTACCTGGCTTCTTTAGGGTCAGAATGAGAAGAATGAGAGATTCGAGCGAAACAGCGAGTCTTAAATGACCACTGGGGCCTTTGTGTGGTGGATGCTGACGTACACGTGCTGTGCTGAGGGGCACATTGGTGGGTTCTTCAAGACTCCCATGGGGACCTCCACACTGTACCATTCTTTGACCTCTTATGACTCTGGGGAAGCATCTCACACCGCTGCATTCTTCTGGGACCCCTTTGCCCTTGTACTACTTAGCTTTCTTGGGTAGGGTCCTTTCAGGACAGCTCTTGCTTGGTCACCTTTTATGGTGTCTGCTTAGGCCACAGGCAGCATAATATCTGCTTTCTCCAAACCCTGCTGCATGGGTATCTTCAGTTGGCATCCTGTCCTCAGACTTCTGCAGCAAGAAACAGGCACTAGTCTCTATCTTCGTCCTGTACACCCCCTTATCCTGGGGACACATGTCAAGTTCTTCCATGAACTCTTCCACAGCATGTTCTGGTAGCTGCCTGCGCATTTCCATACCCAAGCAAACATCCAGCTGGGGTGGGATACTCATCTCCTCCTACGCTCAACCCTAATCTCTTTGGATGCTTCTCTTGTGAACCCCTCATAGTTGGCATGAAGTAACCAGGGGAAACGCAACAGCATTCCTTACTCAGCTAACAGCTCTCTACCTTGATCACTCTTTTCAGTTTCTCTTTGGCTTTAGGGTGTTTTTGCCTTTTTTTTTTTTTTTAAAGTAATTCCTGCATGGATGTGACTAATGCCTCTCTTCAGAGTGTGGGGGGAACTTGTCTTCCTGTGTCCTCAGCTTTGAGCTTCTACTGACATTTTCTGACAACAGGAAAACTTCTATTCTTTATCCATTATAGAAGTCAGTGGTCTCATCTTTAAATTATGAGGAATATTAATAGTAATAAGAGTTAAATTATGGTTCAACCTAAGAAACTAGTTTTCCTTTAATTGACTGCCTCCTCATCCTGCCAAATATTCTTTTTTGTTTATTTATTTATTTATTTTGAGACAGGGTCTCACTCTGTCACCCAGCTGGAGTGCAGTGATGTCATCATAGCTCACTGCACCTCAAACTCTTGGGCTCACACAATCCTCCTGCCTCAGCCTCCCATAGTAGCTGGGACTACTGGTACACGCCACCATGCCCAGCTAATTTTTTCTATTTTTAATAGAGACGGAGTCTCACTCTTGCTCAGGCTGATCTTGAACTCCTGACCTGAAGTGATGCTCCTGCCTCAGCCTCCCAGAGTGCTAGGATTACAGGCATGAGCCACCACACCCGGCCCCAAATATTCTTTTATTGTAAGGTCTTTAGAAGAAAGGCACTGCATAACGTACATTAGTAGTACCTTATTTAAAAACTAATGAAAATATTTTTACTTTTTCAAAAGCATCTGAGAGTATAATTAAATAGTTTTATTTTTTTTATAAAGAAAAAGGCTTCCATTGTGCTAACACATTTGGTTGAAAGGAATAGAGATTCATTTAGGTTACAGAAAGGAATGGAGATTTAGAATAAGACTCCACGTGAACATAGCAATCGAAGGGCATCTCCATTACACAGCCTGGCTTCACGGTGCTCTGCCATGCACGCAATCCAGTGTCCACTAGGTCCACTCGGTCCACTTGAGCTGCTGTAACAAAATACCGTAAACTGGGTAGCTTATAAACAACAAAAAAAATGGTTTCTCACAGTTCTGGAGGCTGGGAAACCTAAGATCAAGGTGCTGTCACTGGCAAATTCAGCGTCTGGTGACGACCTGCTTAGCTATTCATGGACAATTGTCTTTTCACTGTGTCTTCACGTGGCTGAAGGACAAATGGGCTCCCTTGGGCCTCTTTTATGAGGACACTAAGCTCATTCATGAGGGCTCTGCTCTCATGACCTAATCACCACCCAAAGGTGCTACCTTCTAATACCATCACCTTGAGGGTTAGGATTTGAATATATGAATTTTGGGGGGACCGGACCCAAACATTGAGACCATAGCATCCACTTACTCTGTTGTTCCTTTTCTCCTGTGTCTGTTTCTACTTTTGTTCATTCTACCAGCTTAATTCTTTCTCTGTATCTGTGGTTTGAATTCCTGAGTAAGAACCCAATAGGCCAACCAATCACTTCATCCCTATTTGGGTAGAGCTTTCATATCAGATTTCTCAGGGGCTACAAGCCAGCATAAAGATCAGATCTCTGCCCAAGACACCACCCAAGGCTGGTCCCATAAGCATGGCAGTTTCCCTCAGAGAGGACTGTGTGTGGCTGGCACCATGATTGATCCGTCCAGCACAATGGTTAGAGGAAATATTGATAAATTGTCATTTTTGATGACCAACATCTTTTCCACATATTTCCAAAAGTTTGTAGGTGACTAAAGGACTAAAAAGTTTAGCCAAGCTCGGTGGTGCACACCTGTAGTCCCAGTTACTTGGGAGGCTAAGATAGGAGGATCACTTGAGCCTGGGAGTTCTTGGCTTCAGGGCCTATGATTGTGCCTGTGAATAGACACTATACTCTAGCCTGGGCAACATAGTGAGGCCACATCTCTAAAAAAAAAGATTAAAAAAAAAAAACACACAAAGCGCTAAAAAGTTTGAAAAAAACATAGACTGGTTATGTATTGCATACTTAATTATAGTTTGTGATAAAGGTGGGCTTCTAAATAAAATAACACCTTGGTTATGTGGCATAGCCAGGAAACAACATGTTTTACTTATTTTTTGTTTATCTAAGAGTTCAATTGCCTTCATGAATTTTATATCTTATTCCCTTCCTGGTCCTCTTCCTTTTAGAAATACATTCCTTTTATCTCTCCTTACTCTGTGCTATCTCTAGAGCTCATCTTACGAAGGTTGGTGAACTTCCATCCAATCACAAGTATCATTTAATCATTAAGTTATCTGGTGGCCAATTCAATAACAGTGGTTTAAAAAAAAAATGTTGGTGCTTCTTGTGGGTATTCTCTTACACTCCACCTTTGAAATCTGAGTTGTCTATGATGGGCCAGCCTAGTGAATAACATTGGTTTCATTGTGTGATTTAAATCTAATGTAAATGGAGGGTTTGATATGTCAGGTAGAGTTTCAAATGGGTCTAATGAAAGGTCATATTTGTTAAATCCTAATGTATATGTAAATAAATGTTCAGTATATAGAGCAACATCACTTTGTAATAGTATTTGTCCTATAGTTCCTTAAGCGTACCTACTCTTTTTTTTATTTTTATTTTTTTAAAGCCAGTCAAAAGCCTACCTACTCTTTAAAACATTTAAAAAGATCCCCAAATTTAACATACTTTGAGAAAAACATAGATAAAACTTTAGTTTTTGAAGATTATAAAGATGCCACAGATCTATTTCTTCTAAAAACAAACACTGATCTGCCAGTTATCAGAGAAGGAAAATTTGGGCTATTAGGTTTCCTGTGATAGAAGAACTTTATTTCTAGAATTCTTAATCATGGTGCTATGGCTGGAATATTTGTTCTTCCAAAACTCATGTTGAAATTTACTTCCCTATGTGGCAGTATTGAATAGGTGGGGCCTTTAAGAAGCGTTAGTCCATTCATGGGTTATCATGAAAGTACCACTGGTGGCTTTATAAAAAAAGGAAGAGAGACCTGAGCTAGCACGTTTAGTCCCCGGTCATGTCTGCAGAGTCCCCACCAGCAAGGAGGCCCTCACCTGGTGCAGCCCCTCCACTGGGACTTCTCAGCCTCCACAATTGTAAGAAATAAATTCCTTTTCTTTATAAATTATTCAGTTTCAGGTATTCTGTTATAGGCAACAGAAAACAGACTAAGACGTCTAGTAAATAGGATAAATGATTTTATGGACTTTTGATTTTGTTTTCAATGCAGATGTTTAAACATTCATTATGATGAATTTACTTTTTTTTCTCATTGTACTCCTAAGAAACTTTCTGTAAGCCTAAGCGATAGTATTAAAATAAAATGCACCTTCTTCACAAAATGCCAGATTTATTAATCACTGTGAAAAAAATTGGTGGCAGACTATTAGACTGTTTTTACCTACCTATGTGACAATGTTTTCTCTAATAAACATTTGAAGAAGTTATGAGCAGATGACCATGCCATATGAGCAACAACCTATGAAGAATGAACACTTTACTTTTGTTATCAAATAAAACTTACAGCCAGGTTAATCTGACACATTTAATATATGCATAATTGTTATTGTGCTGTGAGGTAATTAGGCATAAATGGTAAGTAGTTCATGTAAATCACTATAATTAGAATTACTTTTACACAGCCAAATCAAGCATTTCTAGAGTCAGGGAGGGAAAGAATTAAATAGAGTATGGAGCTACTCTGAAAATCTCTGTTTCCATTAATCAGGGGTTTGCAGGCAGCCAGGTTTTTTCATCTCTTGGGAGGAGACAGCAAAACCACGAGACCTGGGAATTGGGAGCCATGAAACTCCTTTCCTTTTCTCCTACCCTCTCACCAGCTAATTTTTAGTTTTTCCTTTACGTGAAATTATTATTTCCAACTTCCTCTTATATTCTACCATCTTTTATTTGATCACCCCGCCCCCGTCCCTACCCTCCCAAGAACAATGCATAGATGAAAAAGAGCTATTCAGTTCTACCATTGTAGTCAAAGCAA